CCTCCTCCAGAAGTGGATGATGAATGATAGCTTGGAGTTGGGTGGTGGGAGCCTGTGTAGCCATTATTGACGTTCTATAGAAAACAATTCATCTGCAGATGCAGTCAACACAGCATCTGCACGCCCTGCAAGGCATAAGTAAACTGGCTCTAATACCCGTGGGCTGATCTGAACAGAATAATTACTTTCCTGTTAAAGATACACTTCCCCTTGTTTTTAACCTCCTTGCCTCCAAGTAGAACAGCAGGGGTTTACTTAGGACGACGCAGACTCCCAGGGTCTCAGGAATGAAGAGGATTCACCTCTTCACTCATTCACTTGTTCATTCACTTACAAAGATGTATAGACTTCTACTAGAGCCCAAGCTCTACTGGTATGTCAGACAAATAATGGCCCCTCTTTTTAGAGAGCTCACTTCAGGAATTGTGCAGAGTTTGGGTCCATGCCTTTTACAAAGTCCTCCAAAATTCCTGTCATTCAGATCATAGTCCAGAATGCAGAGGATTAAACACAACAAAGCACCATTTACTTAAAGTCGCACAATGAGCCAGAAGGAGTAGAGAGCCAGTGTAAACCAGCAGGCAGTGATTATTGGACATGTTTAAGGAGTGTAACCTACACATTTTTGAGGAGTGTTCATGAATTTGAGGTTGCCATTTTGATATTTCACAGTATAATACCTTCTGGGATAGAACATATTTGTTTATAAATGACATCATTCCTGTCTACAAATGGGATCACATGTATTATTCACATTGTTTCTTTTTTTCAAATAGGTTAAACATGTTCTATGTATATTTTCCTTAAAGACTTTGTTTACTTATTAACTTACTTATTTTGAGTAACCTACAAAATGATAGAACAAAACTCAACCCACTGGAAATAAAACTATTAAAAGGTTTAAAGACTGAAATAATAAGATTTCACTTATTTAGTTAACAATAATTTATTAAATACTTTCTATGGTTCAACCACTGCGCTGGTTGTAAACTAATGAAGTTGAAGGTTTTGATTAAGTAACACATGGTTTATAGTGGTGTATATTATTATGTGTGCATGCATTGGTGTGTTTTTCATTCAGTTGGATTTGAAAATAGGCAATAATATGAAATTAAAATATTAAGTTAAAAATCAGAATAAAAAATCTATGATAGGATATGTAGATGTGGATAAAGTAGAAAGAAGCGTTAACCTTGTTTAAACTATTGAAAGGATAGGGTCATGAGCAGTTGATTTTTCTTTTATTTTCAATTCATCTACTGGAGGTCTTACAGAGTTGTTTGTGCAATAAAAAAGGCTAAGTAGAAATAGATCCCAGTTGACCTGTTTGTTTTGAGTGGATTTGAGCAGAGGTTTGAAAGAAGAACCCCTGAAAAGTCTGTGTAATACAGGCACTTATAAATCTTATAGGGGGTATTTCCTAGAATCTTCCATCATTTCTAAAATGTCAAATTCCAAAACAGAGGGTTTTAAGTGAGGGCCATTTAGAGAAGGTGAGATTTTAGTCTACATGTTTTTAGTACCCAGAAAAAGCTGCCACGGAAGTCAGGAGTTTCATTTACTCGCTCTTAAGTTGTCATGTGTTTGAGAGATATTTGCATTATTCTACCTCTGCCCTCCCTCATTTAATAGCACCTGGATGCAGAATTATCTTATACAGACTCATGACTTGGAGCATAAATAGCTGTCAAAGATATTTTAAATAAATGATAAATAAAAATCAGCTTGATTTGGGGATATTCTGGAGGCCCAGTTTTTTATTTTATTATTTTTATTTATTTTTACTTTTTGTTAATCCTCACCTGAGGCTATTTTTTCCATTGATTTTTAGAGAGAGTGGGAGAGAGAGGGAAATACAGAGAGAAACATCGATGTGAGAGAAACACATCAATTGGTTGCCTCCTGCAGGAGCCCCAACCAGAGTCCATGCCTGGGAGGACCCTGCAACCAAGGTATGTGCCCTTGACCCGAATCCAATACGGGACCCTTTGGTCTGCAGGCCGACACTCTATCCACTGAACCAAGCCAGGCCCAGTTTTTTTATTTTGCTGAAGTGGTCTGCCAGGAGAAGCAGTGGTGGGGTCTGCACTCGTGGGAAGAGAGGATAACATATTCTGCTTAACAGGGAAATAGGATATCAGAGGAGGGGGGGAAATCACCTTGCTGAGACAATAGATGCCCTATAAAATTGAGCCACTTCATATTATTATGGAAATTACTTTGGGCAGTAGTGCAGAAATCATGCTATATGTTATTGTTAATTGTGGTTGGAGACACAAAGCAATGTGATCATTTGATGACTTATTGGTTGATTGGAAAACACCTGTTAGTGCTAGTAAATATGAAATCACCTGGAAATATTCTTGTGAATTTAGGTGCCATATGAACATCCCTGTTTAATGCATGCAAGAGATTTTAATGGAGTCATGTATGTGAGTTGGTACTTAGCAGTTAGATGATGGCTCCATGCCAGCCATCCAATGCGGGAACCCTATCTGCATGGTAAACTCGAGACAAGAAAATGATAACTTTGCCAGGACTTATGGTGAGGAACAGTGGCTTGACCGGAACATGGATTGAGAGGTATTTAGTCTCCAATTTTGTGTGTGCTTTCCATCTTGTCTGTACGCACCGGCAGCCGCAGTGTTACACTGCCTGCCCCACATCCCTCTTCTCCTTTTCCAGAAGGGAGGTTGAGTGTGGTCCCATGCACCAAAAGGTTGCCAGTTCAATCCCTGGTCAGGGCACATGCACAGGTTGTGGGCTCGATCCCCAAAAGGGAGCATGCAGAAGGTAGCCAATCCATGTTTTGAGATGTTTTGCTCTCGCTCTCTGAAAATCAATTTTAAAAATTAAAAAAGAAAAAGGAAAAAGAAGGGAGGTTGAAAGAACAGCAAGGAGCTTTCAATTATCCCCACCTGACATAAACACGGTGCAGGCTGAGTGTGTCAGGTGTGCAATCCTCATGTGACATTTGCAGTGACATTGCAGGACACCACTTTTGAAGATGATACTAACTATCCCCCCAATTTTTTCTTTTTTAAATATGTTTTTATTGATTTCAGAAAGGAAGAGAGAGATAGAAACATCAATGATAAGAGAGAATCATTGATCCCCTGCATGACCCCCCTGCCTCCCAATGGGGATCAAGCCCACAACCTGGGCATGTGCCCCTGACTAGAATTGAACCACGACCCTTCAGTCCACAGGCCAATGATCTATCCACTGATCCAAACCAGCTAGGGCACTATCCCAAGGTTTTAATATGACTGCCTCCAAGTGCTTGAGAAATCTCAGTGTGTTTGCCTGGCACTCTACTCTTCTATGACATGGCTCTGTTTTATTTTTCCTTTCTCTCTTGCTCTTCCTATCCTAGAACTGCTGCCTCCTCAGCTGGTAATCTTTAAAAACCCTGGGCTACAGTGATTTCTCTTCATACAGCCACACATTAAGCACATCTTTCATGCTTCTCCGAACCAAACTCAGAGAGTGTCAATTAATACGTTGATGGGGAGGAAGTCAGCAGGTAGCATTAAGGCCACCTGTCAGGAGGCATTAGATGTGCACTTTGACTGAGTGAAAGGAACCTGCAGAGAGTGGGGAATGAGGTACTTCATCACACATTCCTAGAGGCATAGCATGAGAGAATAAAAAAATCAGTGTTCGGGCAGCTTCTCCATCGTGTTCCTTTTGTGGATTGTTCATTACTGCTCTGACCAAGATGAACCACCCGAGCGAGAGAGTGCAAAGCAGCTGACACTATTAAGTTTCCAACAGTCAGAGCATAGTCTCTTGTAGACAGGAAGACGACTGATGGGGAGATCCAGCTACTCTTCTCAGGGACCTCCATTCATATGTGCTCACACGGTGCCTGGCATGTTTCTAGGTCCATGTGACTACTCTGTAAACTCTTCCCATTCATTCATTCATTTGACATATTTACTGAGTATCCTATATAATAAAAGGCTAATATGCAAATTGACTGAATGGCGGAACGACCGGTCGCTATGATGCACACGGACCACCAGGGGGCAGACACTCGTCACAGGAGGTGCCCCCTGGTGGTCAGTGCGCTCCCACAGGGAGAGCGCCGCTCAGCCAGAAGCTGGGCTCATGGCTGGAGAGCGCATCAGCGGTGGTGGGAGCCTCTCCTGCTTCTGAGGCAGCGCTAAGGACCCTTTGGGGGATGTCTGCCGAGGGGTCCCAGACTGCAAAAGGGGTCCCCCCTGCAGTACATGAATGTCCTGCACCAGGCTTCTAGTATAATATAATCTAGGTCTTACTGTAGCTGCTGGGAACACACTTATGGGGGAGGAAAATAGAGAAATGTAAACTACTTCTATTCTCATGAAATTTAAGTTCTAGTAGAGGGTATGTGGACAGTAAACAAAATAAATTAAGTAAATTATATAATAGGATAAAGTGGCCTTTGTACAATTCACAGAGAAGGCTGTAGAAAACCCAGCCTTTGACACAAGACTAACAAAAAAATCAGGCTAAACGTAAGATGACATGGGATATTGTTGACATGAACAAGAGGCCTGTGCAAGCAAGAAAATCCTGTGAACTCCATCTCTTCCCATGTCTTTCCACCTCTCCAACAACAGGTGTTACAACTCTTGCTCTTTAATCTCCCCTCTCCCCCCCCCCCAAATTAAAGTAAACAAGGCAAAGTAGGTCAGGGGAACAGTGGGAAATAGTTCAGATGAAGGAAATAACTTTGGGGAAAAGAAAACATCCAGGAGCCATATCGAAGCAAAGAAAATGCAGTCTTCTGTTTCTCTCTCTTCCTTCCAACTTGTCCTGCCTCCTTCATTCCGTAGTGAATCTCATTTGATGTCATTGGGTCAAGGTAGGAGAGCCACCCTGACAGAGTGCCCAGGTGTTCCTTGCCTGCCCCTTTTCCCTTCCTTGTCAAAATGTTAGCTCATTGTTACGTTTTGGAAATTCGTAAATCTAACTTCCTGTTATTATCTTTCCCCAACAATTCTTTGCTGCAGATTATGTTACTCACGGACCCGGAGATTGAGAGCAGTTTGCTGATCAGCTCAGATGAAGGAGCGACCTATCAGAAGTATCGGCTGAGCTTCTACATCCAGAGCTTGCTCTTCCACCCCAAGCAGGAGGACTGGATTCTGGCGTACAGCCAAGACCAGAAGGTGAGCACAGAACCTTGTTTGAGACAACAGTGCACGGTTCTCCCGGGAGAAGCCCCTAGTTGATCATCTCCACACTTCTTCCCCGTGACCAGTTTTGTTCTGTGCAGTCGCCTGAACCGGGGGCCTGTGGGACAAGAGGCAGCACAGCGGGTCTCAGGTCACTGGCTTGAGCTTGTAAACATCTGACCCAGCACACAAGGGAAAAGCCAGACACTAAGGAACTCAATGTGGAGAAGCAGTTTTTGTTTGTTTATTTGTTTGTTTGTTTTAAATATATTTTTATTGATTTCAGAGAGGAAGGGAGAGGAAGAGAGAGAGAAAGAGAAACATCAATGATGAGCGAATCATTGATTGGCTGCCTCCTGCATACCCCCTACTGGGGATTGAGCTCAAAACCTGGGCATGTGCCTTTGTCCAGAATTGAACCCGGAACCCTTCAGTCCACAGGCCAACACTCTATCCACTGAGCCAAACCAGCTAGGGCAAGAAGCAGTTTTTAATGTAGATGTTTCAGGCCATTAGGAGCCCCAGACGGTCATGGAATTCGAGAATGAGTTTTGTGTGTGTCAAGAGGTGATCATTTTTCTAGATGAAGACTCAGGATAGGTTTTTTAAGACACTTAAAAGGAAGGATGACCCCTCCACCCCCCTGCCAAAGGCTAAGAACACTACGAACTTTCTAAAATGGTGAGAGGAATAATAATAATATCCACAGAGAACATCATTCAGAAACAGGTTATCTCAGGACTTTTCATCTCTTGGTGGTTGGATTGAAGGAGAGTTCCACTTTTTAAAGAAAGCATTGAATGAGGTTTTGCTATTTAATCTCTCTCTCTCTCTCTCTCTCTCTCTCTCTCTCTCTCTCTCTCTCTCTCTCTGTGTGTGTGTGTGTGTGTGTGATGTATGTGTATATATACTGTGGAATGCATACTACAAAATATATCATGTACCCTATACTACAGATACACTATAAAATACATATAGCCCCTGCTTTTCAGGACCTTACATTCCTGGTAGAATGTAAGGCTACCAACATAAAATGCAATTAAAATAAAATGAAAAAGAAACAACATACCAGTATACATTGGCAAATGGGAGAGAGACTCTAGCCATAGAAGCCAACAGGAACATAGGGAGATATTGGAATATTGTCTGTGAAACGCATGGCTCAGTGAAGTCATTCTTAGAATTCTCCTTAGAGGGCTCATGTGTTAGAAATTATACATATCGGGCTTCTGTGAGTGAGGAGGATGCCCTCGGGTTTTATCTGGAGAGCATGGCGATGCGTGGGGTTCTTCCTGAAGGGGCAGAAGGCTGGAAGCACCTTTCCCAGGTCTCTACTGACAGAGCATTTTGTAGGAAGCAAATTAAAATTCTCGGTATTGCAGTTTTATTCATGCTGTCCTTCCTGCCAAATGGAATGCACATTAAGTCTAAAAATAGAAAAGATTTACAATTAGGAGTCGTTTCCTCTTGAGCAGCCTGGCTGCCCTTTCAGCAGAATGTACAGTTTCGTTTCCAGAGTCAGGCCACAGTGCATCTGGTCCCGGATGGCGCAGTGGCCACGGGCGAGGCTGAGAAGCTCCAGACACAGAATATTAGTCATTTTATCTGCTGCGTTATTGCGTTTTATCTGGCAGTTGGTTAATTTTCCGCGAGATGCTAGAGGCACAGCAAAGGCCAGATTTACCTGGCCAAGGGAACCCTGTGCATCGTTGCGATCCTGTGGAGGAGATGCCCCAGGATGTAACCCTTCATGTCCCAGCACTTTAAGCAGTTCCTCCTGGATCGCGGTGGTAGAGTGGGTAGCACTGGAAGAGGTAGGACCTCCGGGCTGTGGCCCCAGCTCAGCCACTCACAGTGAGCGCTATTAGTGTTGGCTTCCTTTGCTGTAAAATGTGTTCATACAGAGGAGTATAATTGCAGGGGCACTTCCAAAAAGATTGGGAAAAAAACCATGAATATTAAAGTCCACATCCATTTGAGGTGTTCTGTATGCTGTGGTGTTGCTATAAAATCACTCTAGCAAGGAGCATAATCCATCTGGGGAGAGAAGATTAAATACACATGAGTTCACCCATAGTCTAAGAGAGGCCAAAAGAGCATGCCCTCATCCACATTTAATAGGTGCCCAATCAAGGTAGCTGGATGGATTATATGAAATGGGCAGCCCACAGTGCAGGAGTGATGATCTCATGAAATTATTTTACCTAGACATTCATGAATATGTCATATTTCTTCGGGGGGCGGGGGGCGCACTTACACAAGAGGAATGTCACAAACACTAATACAAAGTTAGAAAACCCCTGTTTACAGGATTGTGAACTTGACTATTTGGCTGAAACTGAAATTTGGTAAAGTTCATTATACACTTCTAGAACACAAGCTCGATTATTTTTCATTGTATTGGCTATTTGGTTGTTAGGCAAAGTCATTTTTGTTCTTCTCAGTAGGCATCTTTTGAAAATGTTGGTCAGTGGAATGATGGGTTCAGAGCTACAGATTACAAAAGTTAATCTGGTAGAAATATCATAGTGAATTGTGGTAATACATGGTCAAAAGCCAGAAGTCCAGTTAGGATGATAGCATAGCTATTATGGACTGGACCAAAGAGTATCTTGTGATCATACACCAAATAAACTCTGTCATTTAGGAGCTGGAAGAAACATTAACGATCTTTGCTCTGTAGAAGCTAACCAATCTTCCCACAGAGAAAACCCACACTTTGCTACCACATGTTAAAGTTCAATAAATGACAGAAGGCCTTACGTAGTACTTGGCAGGAGTCTCATATAAGGGTGCTATCTTGAGATGGGCAGATTTCTGTTTCTCCAGGAGAGAATGAAGGTGAAATCATGCTGGAAGAAAGAGGGGTAACCTGCTGGTGCAAGGAGGGGTTGGAGAAGAACGCCACATCTCAGGGCTTGAGTCACAGAACGAGGAGTGGGGCTGTAGCCATCGGAGGAGCCATTAGCTAATGGGGTTGGCTGGAAGTCAAGTGGAGAGAGTCTGTGGCCACGCAGGTGGGTCAGTGATATGGAAATAATAGCTGGCGATTACCCATGAATCAGGGAGCTTTTAACAGTAATGAGATGCGGCCCTGAGCACCAAGGAGGGCCCATGCTGGTGTTGGCAGACCAATGACCATGTTTGCCCGGGAAAAGGAACATTGATTCTTTCACGGACTGCTCATCAGTTTTTTCTGTGACAGCTGCTATTGCTGCTGCCACAAAACTCCCAGCTCTGAGCTGAGCCTCAGTGCTCGTTGTCTCTGCTGGATGCTGTTTTACACCCACGTAAGGTGGACAGGATTTTCAGACAAAAGGTACTGTCTCTTAGAAAGTATCCTGTGTAGGTGGCAGCTCCTTCAGAACTCACCCCCGAGCAGAATCCTCCTCTCTTTTTTCCTTGTGTGCCCCTCCGAGTCCACGCAGGCATACACTCCCACCTTTGGATACATCCCACCTTCGTTTCCCCCTTACTTCCCCGCCGATGCCTTTCTTCCCTTCCATGAATGAGACCTGCAAGGCCCTGAGGACGAGCACAGAGCATGGATCGCTGGCTCCCAGGATGGAGCCCATGTGGGCTGCGCTGTCCTGCTCCATTTGCATTTCATCTTGAAGGCCTGGGGGAGGCTTTTTGATGTGAGCATTTTAAGACACTCCAAGACTTTGTTGAGCAGATTGTCCGTTCTGGCCCAGGATGCAGTTCTGCTGGCCATCAGTTCCATAGGAAGCCAGGGTTTTTTTGTTTGTTTGTTTTTCTTGTGTGTGTATTTTTCTTTTTTAATATTTAATCAGAGAGAAATGTGTATGGCCAAATGCCCTCAAAATCCATAAAATATGGCTGAAGTCTTTTCTCTTAGAGAGAGACATCTCTCTGTGGTAGTCAGGGTCTGGGAGGTGGCCAAGAAGTAAACATTTTCTTGAATTGGCATGTGCTCTCCAGGCCCCACGGGGATGACTGGGAGGAAAAGGTTCAGAGCCTTTTCCATTTGAGGTTCCAAGAAAAGTAGCTGGGGCCCTGGCGGGTTGCTGAGTTGGTTAGAGCATCGTCCTGATACACCAAGATTGCAGGGTCATTCCCCAATCAGGGCACATACAAGAAGCAACCAATCAATGAATAAATAATTGGAACAACAAATCTATCTCTATCTCTATCTCTATCATCATCTCTATCTCTATCTCTATCTCTATCTCTATCTCTATCTCTATCCCTATCCCTATCTCTATCTCTATCTCTCTTCCCCCCTTCCCCCACCCTAAAATTTATAAATAAATAGATTAACTAATGAAGTAAAATTAAATTAAAGCAGTAGCCTGACCAAATGGGAAGCCCAATTGAGGACTTAGTATTAGAAATAGGAGCTGAGTTTCTTGGCCTCTGATGGGTCTGTGTGAGGAGGTACCTTTGGAAAGCCCTGGAATCTCAAGCAAATTAACGTGACAGGCATTACAGACATTTTATACCCAATGGGAAGAGGGATAGTGATCATGGAAGGTCCCACCTCTTATACTTCTTCCAAAGAAAAAGTGAACCACTTATTATAGGAGTGCCAAAATCTTTATTTCTGTACTTTTTTTTATCTTTCCATTTAAGCTGTAGAGAGACCAAACATTCTGCTCATTTATTATTATTATTATTTTGGTTTCTTTGCATTAGGAAATGAAGTGAGTGGGAGGATGGAGATAGAGTTCTTCACCTCATTGCCAGTCCCCCCCCCCCATCTTCTTGCCTCAATACAGAAAACCACCCAAGGCAGGCTTAGCAGCAGGCTGAGTCTGCCAGATTACATCTTTATTTTAATTTGGCAATAAAGTAGTGTACAAACTGTGCTATAAAACACTGCCTCCAACAGCATCTCTCAGTCTGTCTTAAACACCTCACTAAACATGATGTGTTGGGAAACATTTGAAATGAGAGAAAACAAAGCGCAGATGTGACTGAGAGAAAAAAAATAGGAGAAAAGTCCAAGGATGTATGTATACTTCAGCTTTGCC